AGGTCACCTAGAACCTCCGCGTCCCGTCCAGGGACCAGACATGAAGTTTCCAGAGGTCTGGACGCGGGTGCCACAGGGTGCCCCGTCTCTGATTCAGTAGATCCTTCCTCAGAGGAATCTGCCAAGGAGGGGCTGTCACAAGGAGCATCAGTTCCGGGAACCAAGTCCGAGTGGGCCAGTAAGGCGCCACGAGCAGGACCTGCTCCTCGTCCTCCCTGATCTTGCACAGTGTCTGTGCGAGAAGGCTCACTGGAGAAACGCATATTTGCGAAGGCCCCGCGGCCAGCTGTGTGCCAGTGCATCCGTGCCGAGTGTTCCTTCGGTCAGGGAGTAAAACAACTGGCAGTGAGAAGTCTCTGGAGATGCAAACAGGTATACTTGAGCGTCTCCGAAACGTCTCCAAATCAGCTAGGAGCATAGCTCGTGACAGCTCGTCGGCCGTACGGTTGAGCAGACCCGGAATATGAATGGCACGAAGTGACCTCAGAACCTTCCGATTCCAAAGGAGGAGGTGGTGGGCAAGTTGCATCATGTGACGGGAGCGCTGCCATGCCCACCTCGGGACTCGGCCATGAAGCCAGTGCTGAAGCGGTCTCATATGAAGCAGCCCCAGCGGTGTAACTGCCGCTGCCATATGCCCCAGGTTTCAGTGGGACCGCTGTCCTGCCCTTGAATGAATTCAAGCAGTTTAGCACCGACCGCGCATGTTCCTCGGTTAGGCGTGCTGTCTGTTCGACCGAATCCAACTCCATACCGAGAAAAGAGATCTTCTGCACCGGGGAGAGTTTGCTTTTTTCCCAGCTGACCTGAAGACCCAACTGGCTGAGGTGCCAGAGCACCAGGTCCATGTGCTCGCACAACTGATCCCGAGACTGTGCTAGTGTAAGCCAATCGTCGAGATAGCTGAGGATGCGACACCCTGCTCTCTGAGGGGAACAAGAGCCCCCTCCGCAACTTTCGTGAAGACACGGGGCGACAGGGAAAGCCTGAAGGGCAGGACCTTGCACTGACATTCACGTCCTTCGAATGCGAACCGCAGAAATGGTCTGTGGTGCGGAAGGATCGACACATGAAAGTACACATCCTTCAGGTCGATTGCTGCAAACCAATCTCGGGGATGGATGCACCCAAAGATGTGTTTCTGCGTCAACATCTTGAACGGTAATCGATGAAGGGCCCGGTTCAAGACACGCAGATCCAAGATTGGTCGTAACCCACCGCTTTTCTTGGGTACAAATTAAGTAGGGGCTGTAAAACCCCATCTTAATATCGGCTGGAGGGACCGGCTCTATTGTGTCCTTTGCCAGTAGGACTGCGATCTCCGCAAGCAAGACAGCAGCATCGGCCACCTTCACTGCTGTGAAGCGGATGCCACTGAACTTGGGGGGACTATGAGCTAGAGGGACCAGCTCTATCACGTCCTTCGCCAGTAGGACTGCGATCTCCGCACACAAGACATGAGCATCGGCCGCCTTCACTGCCGTGAAGCGGATGCCACTGAACTTGGCGGGACGCCGGGCGAACTGAATCGCATAGTCGATGCTGATGGTCCACAGAAGCCAGCAAGACGGGCTGGGTAGCGCTAGCCAGGCACCCAGATACCGTGCAAGTGGGAACAGCGGAACCACCACCGTACCCGCAGTGGGGCAGCGAGGTGGAACGCAGGAACCCAACTCGGGTGGCTCATGGGCGGACCGCCAAGTTTGACGGGGGCCTGGATGGGCGGGGTGGCCTGTCTACGCCCAGCTCCACGGCACCACTTGCTCAAGGCTGCTGTGGAAGCGGCACGAGAGCGGTGATGGCTGCCCTTGGCAATGAGCAGGCTGGGGCGCTGCGGCCGGCAGACGGTTGGAGGCAGCATCTGCCCACCGGGACAGGAAGTAACAAATCGCCTCAGTCTGCTTTTGTGCAGCCGAGAACTGCTGGGCTTAATGCCCAGACACGTGAGGCAGTGATTGTGACCATCACCCGGTGCCAGGTAATGACCGCATCCAGAAATGCACGGGTGAAACGGCATCTTTAAAAAGACGATCCGTCGTCTTTACAAAGAAGCACCCATGTAAGCTCTTTTAGAGAAATAGGCTCTTTCAGGGAAATGCTCTTTTACGTGCTGAGACGCACAGAGGAAATGGCCGCTTGCAGCACGACAAGGGGTATTGCAGCCTGAAGTGCACAACCCACTTGACACAGGAACGACCACCACTGAAGCATCATCCGCCAACACAAAAAGCTCCCTAGAGCGCGCTGAACTCGTCATCAAAACGAAGATATTGGTAGGAGCAGAACGATGTTATCGCTCGGCTCCGAACCGAAAAGCTGGTATGCGTTGCACCGGCTGCCTTTTTATGCTCACACTGTGATCAGCGGCAGCTGGATGCAATCATCGCATGCCAATGTGCATTGGCTCATTTAGTTTACACTTGAAGTGGATTGGTCTCTCCAAGCGAGATCCAAATTCGTCGGTCACCGAC